TGATCTGTCTCCTCACTGTCTCTCTGGTCTTATTTTCTATTACTACTTTCCTTGATTTATTCTGCTTTGATATATTGACACACAGTTCCCTAACCCTGCAAGCTTAAACCTACCCCAGAACCTTTGCCTTTGAGGTTCTCTCCTTCTAGCTTACTTTTCCCCTTTATATTTATGTGTTACATGTTCTATTTTTTTGTTTGTTTGTTTAGCTGCTTACTCAAATGCCTCCTTCTCAAGGTGGCCTCTTCTGTTCAACCAGGATAAAATTGAAACCTCTGCCCATGACATCTCCTGCCTTGCTGTGCTTTCCTTTTTCATCTTAGCACTTAGCAGTCTTCATCAGACTTTGTATTTTGCTTTTGTGTATCATTATTGTTGGTCTCCCTGAATAGGTGCTCCATTAAGCAAGAATTTGAATCGCTTTGATGCGTTACTAAGTCCTTGGTTCTAACAACATTACCTATCAGATAGCAGTTGCTCACTAAATATTTGCTGATACAGTTGATTTGTACTACTTCTACATCAGTTTCCATGTGTGAGACTGGGCTCCATCCCTGGCACAAGAATTTTTCTTCCTCTGCTGAGACATAGTCTGGGTATTTTTCTCTTCCCATTCCACCTGTGAATCTCAGAAATGGTGTACTTTATTGCATTCATCTCCTTTGAAAGAACTGTGTGAATTAGGATGATTTAATTAAAGTTTTTTGATTAGGGCTCAGAATTTCCATCTGCATAAAGAATCTTTTTCTCTGTAGTCACGTAGTTAAGCACAATGTTTAAAAAGTGCTTAACACTGTATGTAGCATAATTCCTTTTGAAAAAATGTTTTTTTCTTTAGGTGTTAGAAATTTTAGGGAAAATTTATTTAGGTAGTAATTCACCGTGTAATAATGTAGAGTGAGATAGTTAACATACTGTGAGAGTAGGAACTCTGGATACTGTGAGGTTTATACTAAAAGTAAAAAAAAAAAAAAAGGCAAACTGAATTTACCATTGTGACATTCTGCACAGCCTTCAATTTTCTGCCTTCCTCCAGGAAGGTTTTCTTGTATCTATGAAAATTATGTTGGTGATTTGATGGCCATTATGTGTTTGTTAAGTTAGGTGTGTTTGCAAAGATAGCTCCAAATTCAGTGTTCAGTTCTCTTCTTCAAGAGAACATTCTGGTTTGTTTAATGTACGTGACATCTGAATTTCCTGTCTCCCTGGATAACTGCTAGTTAATTATAGCCTGAGTAGTGTGAAGCAGATGTTTTTAGAACATCCTTGCAGTGACGCGTTGGGAGTCCTCAGGATTGCAGTGTAGGAATGCAGAATTCCCGGGGATTTTCCTGAACCAGAAGCCTGCTCCTCAGGTGGACTGGCTTGAGAGCCAGGGTGTGTAACAGGTCTGCATGGATGAATATATGAGAATACATGTGTATGATTGTGATGCAAAGTAGATGTCTTTGGGTTCCAGGACATTCAGAAATGCAAAGAGAAAAACCAAAATGTCTGTAGCAACTTTTATGGTCTTTCCTTCATCCTACTTTTGTCCCATGATGCCTTACTGCGACTGGGATCCTAGGAACTCCCATTCCATCTGATTACCTCCTTGGCACGTCACTGACAATATTTCTTTTTCCAATCCCTAAAATAAATTCAATAAGATACTTAGATTATTAGTGTTCAGAGTATAAACTTAGATTATCTACTTTATCTATTATCTACCTAACCTAAATGGATAATGCCTTTCACTGGCCTTAAAATTCACAAATTAATAGTATGTAGAAGTATATTTTTCTTAGATGCCTGTTAATCATGAACTGTAACTAAACAGCATTAAGATAAAAAGAAGAGAGGACAGCACTGTGGTGCAGAAGGTTAATCCACTGCCCGTGATGTCAGCATCCCATATCCAAGTACTAATGCCGTTCCTAGCTTCTCCACTTCAGATCCAGCTCCCTGCCAGTGCACCAGGGAAAGCAGCAGAAGATGCCCAAGTGACTGGATCCTTGCCCATCCAAAATGGGAGACCCAGATGGAGTTCTTTGTTCCTGATTTTGACTTAGTCCAGTCTCACTCATTGCAGTTATTTAGGGAATGAACCAGAGGATGGAAGAGATCACTATCTCAACTGAATTTCAAATAAATAAATGAACCTTTTAAAAAAAGAACATGAAGACATTATCACTTAGTAAATGTGGTTAGGAATCTCACGAAGTGTGTATGTCAGGTTACTTAGGCACTGAATACTTACAGGGCTTTACCACCCCTGCTGCCATCTTCATTTAACATTAGATTTTATTCTCACTTCCTCTTCCCACTCTGCGCCTTTCCTGCTAGGACAGGCAGAACAGAGTGCTGACATCTTTTGTAAGAATCCTCACTGAGATAGCTGAGGAATTGTGCAGTTACAGTTTTGGTTGTGGTAATTTTTTATCTGTTTGTTTCTTTTCTAGGCGGTAGATTCTAGAGCTTTGGTAGGTACATTTGTAGATTCGTTTTTTAAAAATTTTATTTAAGGTAAATGAATTTTCTGTGTTTCATATGTACAGATTTGGAAACAGTGACACTTCCCACCCTTCTCTGTCTCCTGTTCACGCTCCCACCCTTCCTCCTCCTTCCTCTCTTATTCCTTCTCTTAATTTTTACAGTGATCTACCTTCAGTTTACCTTATACTCATAAGATTAACCCTATACTAAGAAAGGAATTCAATACATAGTAAGGAGAACAGCATATGGTTCTTCAACAGTAGAGACAAAGACTATAAACAGTCACCTAACCTCAAAATATCACTTTCACTCCTATATATTACATTTTTGGTACTACAGATCTGTTGACTAGTTGTGGAGGCCTTATGGTGTTAAGAACTGTAGAGATTGTAATAGTCCAGATGATTAGAGAATATCCCTATCAATAGACTAAACTTGAACAAGAAATTCCTTTAAGGTAAATACACTTTAGCAACCGCTTGCTGCCAGGGTGGGTGATGGAATAGAAGCACATTGGAGGGGTTATCTCTTGTCCTAATGTGTCTTAGCAGCTCCTATTCCTGTGACCATGCTTTTAGTCTGTGTAGGTTTCTAGAAGCACCTTATTCTGCAAGGCTGTTTTCTCCTCTCATTCATCCTGCTCTTGTCTTTCACAGCAGTTCTGAAGGATAGCTGAGAGGAGCAGCAAGTCGTGTTTGAAAGACAAAGGGAAAAGTACTGTGTGGATCCCCATCATAGGGACTCCTGTGTGTATTTTGATTTGTGCTATGGGGGAAGTAATGTTATTTCATAAAATACCTTCCCAGTTTTGGTCACGATATGAAAACATCTGAGAAGTCTGTTGAACATCAGAAATCTTGTTCTTTTCACTTGCTGATCATCCTCAGTGATGACCATATGGCTTAGCATCTTAAGCTCTGGACTGTGGCTTAGGAACTGTGTGTTAATGTTCAACAGTCTATCTTCAGTTATTGACGCAAGACGATCCACTGTCCATAAAATATGAATAATAACCTACTCTGGAAGGTACAAAACAGTAATAAATTCTCCCCATCATTTTCAAGTGATATAAATGTATGATAAATTATGGTAGAGACTATGGTTGATGAAATTTATTCTGAGTACTTAGGAAGATGGATGTTAATTTTTTGGATTACTTTGGATGTTTGGTTTGGCAGTTAATCCCTTGAGTGTGTGTATGTGTATTTTTGTGTACATAATATTAAGACAGCTAATACCAAACATTTTTAAAAGATTTATTTTCTTATTTGAAAGAATAACACAGAGAGAGAGGCAGAAAGAGAGAGAGGCAGAGAGAGAGAGAGATCGTCTCTCTGTTGGTTCCCTCCTCAAAATTGGCTGCAACAACTGGGGTTGGGCCTGTCAGAAGCCAGGAGCTAGGAATTCCATCCAAGTCTCTCATGGGTGCATCATCCTCTGCTTCCCGGGCACGTTAGCATGGAGCTGAATCAGGAGCAGAATATTTGGGACTTGATCGGTCATCTGCTGTGGAATGAGGGTATCCCAGACAGCATCTATATATGCTGTGCTAGAATTCCGACCCCTTCCTCAAACTTTTTGCTCTCAATATCCTCTTATCCTTCAATTGATGTGAAAACATTCTTTAAAGATCCTGTTAACTCTAACTTTGTATTTAGAAATAGTAACAAATGCACTCCTTTGTAAAAGATGATCACTTTCAGAATTTATGGTTATCAGATGATAGTTATTTTTCCGGCTATTAACAGTTGAGACAGATAAGACAAAATTAACCTTTTAATTCATCAGTGAATATTAATTGTGGGTAAGTTTATGGTCTTGATGAAATAAAATGGCACACACATATTCCATTCTATGTTTTAGGCTTTGAGAAGTCCAAACAACAAAACAAAGCAAAACAAACAAGACTGGGGACAAATAAACCCAAGAACAAGAGTGAGACAGACTATGTAAAGCTTTGGCAAACGCTGCTTTAAATGGAGGGTCTCTAGGCAACCGTGTTTCTTAAATAGTAGAGTATCATAGCATTCATGTATTTTAAAGTCTTTGGATTATTTATTCCATGGAATAAACTATAAATAATAGAAGTATTTTGCACACAGATGTAATTTGCACTGATAAACTAAATAAGATTCAATTAAAAGAATGCATTCTAATATTTTAGCTTTTAACTTGTATTATTGAACTTTGATGATGACATAATTCTCCATTCCTCATACCTCCTCCACAACTGAAACACTGTAGCAGCTTTTCTTCTCTTTGTAAGAAATATATTTATGTAGGCATATTATTTATGTATTCATATGTATGTAAAATATTCCACATATGTATCCTTGAGTTTTAAAACTAAATGCTATAAACTACTACATTTTTATTTCAAAAAGTGATATATTTATATTACTCATGTATTTGTAATGTAATTAAATAATATAGCAAATTTGGTGGGGATGGGGTGTGTTTGCACTGAAGAAATGTTGTGATCCTAAGTTGAAACAGTAAGTGACAAACAGCATTTCTTTCTCTAGAGACCGGATCTCCAATTACAGCCTCCTGCATTGGATTAGGTAATTCAAAAACGCCTCCTCCAGGGCAAGCAGGAAAAAGTGTCCCGGGATACAATGGTAAGAAATGACTATAATTATTTGAAGTCTGTAATGTTGACAACTGTGGTATTTTCTTGTATCTAGTGTGTATCGTAGTACACACCTTGATGTTTAGTACACATAATGACGTTTCGTACACATAGTACAAATAATGATGTTTAGTGTTTGAATGAATGTATTGTATTAAAAATGAATGCCTTAAATTTTAATATCCAAAGTGAGGTTGTGGAAGTAAGATTGAGTATCTCCAGGGGCAGGTTTTAAATGACTGTTATAACCAAGAAAATAATATAATTTTAAAGTCTATTAAAAATACAGGTGTGAAATTGCTATTTGTGGAACACCTGATGTTGCCAAGTACTTTACACACTTCATTTCATTTAATCCTGAAGTACACTTAAGTCAGAAACCTTATTACTGTTTTAGAGATGAGCCAGCTGATGCTCATAGAGATTAGATGGCTTTCTTAAGGTAGCACAGTTGGTTAGTGTCTCAGTGCAGACTTGTGTTGTATTTTGTTCCTTGCTTTTGTAACAAAAGCTGAAGGTTTTCCCCTTTGCATATGCTACCTTTTAGTTTAAGCTTGATAATAAGACTTTTGAAGCTTGTTGGCTAAAAACAAATACAAGGAATAAGGGTCCTAAAATAGTTTTTCCACGTGAGCTTTGTGTGACAAAGAAATAGGATATCCTACAAAACTTAACTGTTTAGTTGTATAGTTTATGTAAGTCATCTCACTTTTTCAACATTCAGTTTTCTTATACCTAAACAGAGGTAATAATGTATGAGCTTTCTAGGTCTGCTGTGTTGTGACATTCCACAGTGAGCATTAAGGCCTATCTACCAGTGGAAAGGCTGGATTAAATCTTGGCAAGCAGTGCTAACCAATGCTTCAGAGAAGCCCGAGGGACTAGCTTGACTTAGATCCACACATGTATTTTACAAACAGGGAAAACAAGGCACAGAGGTTATATAATTTCCATAAGGTTGCACAATTTAGTTTAATAGCTTTTCTGAGGAAAACCAAGCTTTGAGGACCAGAGTATGATTCCTAACATATGCTTTCTATTTTACATATAAATTTAAAAAATTAGGGATTTGCTTTTTGCTTGTCTTAACATAAAAAAGGTTTTATTTTCCTTTCTGAGACAATGATTAGTCAAGGATGTGTGGTTGATTTGATTTAATTTGTCAGACATGTTTATAAAAGCATTTTGGAATTTTTAATTCAGATCAGAAATAGGTATTCTGTGAAATGACTTCTCTAGCCCCGGAATAGTGAGCCCACATTTAGAGAAATATCCCATTTGAACAGTTCAGTCATCCCTGTACCTTTTATCAGAATACATGCTTTTGTGTTGAGACATTTTTAGGTGTTTCTGATTGTGGGAGATGTTAAACACATTTTCCTTTGGTTTTTCAATACTGCTTTTATATCCAGTTGTAAGAAAGAGCTTAAGCTTTGATACCTGGTGAAACTTCAATACAGAAGTTTGCTCATTGTATGAGAGCAATTGGCTTGCAGACAGCACAGGTTAAACATCATTAACCAAGGAACAAGTGACTTTATGATGAAAGGTTTTTATGTTGTGTGGTAACTCAGAGATCCAATATCACAGTGCAGTATTTCATAAACTATCTTACCTTTGGGGAATGGAAGAACATGCTTTTTTTTGAAAAACATTCAGTGTAATATAACTCTTAATTTCACACACGTTGAATACCTTATGCAAGCTTGTCACTTCATAGACAGTTACCGGCTCCCCTTCCCCCTTATCTACCCTACCTCCTCACCTCCACCCCTACCTCCTAGTAATTCTCTACCAAGCTGAGAAGAGAATTGCTTCTCTTTTATGGAAAGGAAAACGGAAGGGGCAGAAGAACGTTCCCTGGAGCACTTAGCAATTTCACGACCTTATTGGGACTTGTGAAACAAAAATGAATCAGAACTGGCTTCCAACTCACAAACTCTCGAAGTATAGATTCTTACACCTCTACTAATTGTCAAAATTGAGTTTTAAAACAAAATGCTCCAGGAACATAAAGAAGGGGACATTATTTTTTTCTGGAACAATGTCCTTTTTCTTCTCATAGCTTCTCACAGTAGAGTTACCTGAAAGAATGAAGCCACATGAAGAATCTAGTAAAGCCTAGAACGTGGAGAGTTGTCTTGATATTCAGTTTTCAGTAAGGGTTACTTAATGTGGATAGAAGCTTTAATCTCCTAAATGCTTTCTGGATTTCATCAGAATAGCTCGGAAAGCAATGGGATGTTTGGTAAGATTAAAGTGACCTAGTTTAAAGCTTATCAAATGATAGTAAGACTTAAAATGGAGTAAAAGATTTTTCATACTTTTAAATGCTGTATTTTCATTGCTTACATTTTGATGTATTCTAAAATTTATTTACTTTAAATTTTTAATAGTTGAACATATTTTTAAGCTTTTAATCAATTAGGAGAATACGGTAAATGTGTTTAAGTTAAATGAGAATCATAAGCATATATATGATGTCTTTAAGAGAGATTCTTAAATTCAAATGAAAATCTGTGATGCTTTAGGAATGTAAGGAATCAAACTCATGTACTTATATTTTTTAGAAGATGTTTTAGTTTGTTTAAATATGTTTGTATCCTCATAGGAATTAAGATTCCCTTTTCAAGCTAGCTGTTTGGTGGTTAAAAAAACACTGGAAAATGTACATTTTAAGATTTTCCACTTTTGTTCAAATATTTATTTATATTTTACTTTGTAGTTATGATTTTGGATGACAATATGCAAAAACTGAAGGCTCGGAGTTTGGGAAATATTGTGGTAAAGTAAGCAAAATTTTCAATACTACTACTTAAAAGAAAAAAAGTTGATATATAATATTAAGAAAAAGATGGAATGAAAGCTTTAACAGTACTGGTGAGGAGGTTGTAGAATGAACTTTCAGAATCAGTTTTGTTAGGGAAGTATGACTTTAATGTGATTCAGATTTGGAAGCCTCATAAAACAATACAAATTTAGTTATAATTTTTAAAAAGACAAATCTTACATCATTTAAAAAAAAACTTCCTGCAAAACTATGCAAAAGTAAGTAGTTTCTTTTCCCCCACCCCCAGCTACATGCTGTGAATTTTGTAATACACAACCATGTGCCAATGATTTTTTAATCATTCTCTTGGTGCTGGACTGCACAGATGGTGGTGGGTCCATAGGATTATAATGGGGCCGAAAATGTGTATCTCCAAGTGACGTGGTAGACACATGCAGCATTTTTCATGTTATGTGATGATGGTGGTGAAAACAAACTGACAACATTGTTGATCCTGTAAAAGCATAGCATATACAATTTATATATTTTATCTGAAAATGATAATAAATGATATGTTACTGGTTTATATCTTTACTGCAAGATATCATACTTTTTAAAAAAATCATTAATATAAAAAGAACACATTTCATGCATTTCATAGGTACAGTTATGAGGAGATTATCATACTTCCTTCCTTCTCTCCCTTGCCTTCCTCAATCTCTATGCTTCACCCTTCCTTATTTTCCTTCAGTTTTTGCAAAAACATGGTTTCAATCCACTCCATGATCACAGGCTTAATGCACAACTAACCATAATATTCAACAAGTCAAAAATAGACCACATTTGCACTTGAGTATAAACAAGGGTAAAAAGCAACAATCGATAAACAACAGTTAATCACAAGATGCCCACTTAATCCCTATACATTTTTTATACTTCATATTTTTTCAAAAATTTATTTATTTATTTATTTGAAAGAGAGATAGAGAGGCAGAGACAGGTCTTCCATCTGCTGGTTCACTCCCCAAGTGGCCCCAACAGCAGGAACTGAGCCAACCCAAACCCTGGAGCCAGGAGCTTCTTCAGGGTCTCTCACATGGGTCCAGGGACACAAGGACATGGGCCAACCTCCACTATTTTCCAAGGCGCAGTAGGAGAGAGCTGGATAGGAGGTAGAGCAGCCAAGTCTCAAACCACTGCCCATATTGGTTGCTGGTGCTGCTAGTAGGGGCTTTAACCCAATGCGCTACAGCACTGGCCCCTGTACTATGTATTTAATACCACATGTCAGAGAAAACATGGCTTATTTCACTTAGCATAATGGTTTCCAGTTCCATCCATTTGTTGCAAAAGCAGGATTTCATTCTTTTTTATGGCTGAGTAGTATTCCTTAGTGTGTAATACCACATTTTCTTAATCCAGTCATCAGTTGATGGACATCTGGGATGATTACATATCTTAGCTATTGTAAGTTGAGCTGCAATAAAGCTAAGAATACAAATAACTCTTTCATATGTTGATTCCATTACATCTGAGTGAATTTCCCAGAGCAAAATGGCTGACGGACATATTAAAACAATGCTCAGGATCACTAGTCATCTGGGAAATGCAAATAAAAACCACAGTGAGGTGTCACCTCATCCCAGTTAGAATGACTATCATCCAAAAATCAAAAACTAATAAATGTTGGCAAGGATATGGGGAAGAAGGCTCCTTAATACACGGTTGGTAGGAATGTAAAGTTGTTGAAAACCATTGTGGAAGATGGTATGGAAGTACCTCAGAAATCTGAAAGTAAAGCTACCATCCCGTATCATACTTTCTATCATTATTTCAGAATGTAGTCCTATTTTTTTTTTAAAGTTCACTGTAAAACAGTATGCCTTGTGGTGGATCTTCGGCACAGTGGGTAAGTGGCTTGGGCTTCCACATCACGTGTCAGCCTGTTTGGCTGAGTCCCAGCGCAGCTTCTAGTTTCAGCTTCTTGCTAATCTGCGCTGTGGGAACTAGCAGGTGATGTCTCAAGTACATGAGTCCCTTTCAGCAAGTTGTCTATTTCGTTTTTTTTCTGGACTTTTGAGATGCGACGAAAGTTGTTTTCTTTTAACAGTTTCATAGTTTCACTTGTTAGATTTAGGTCTTTATTCTGTATTTAGTTAATATTTGTACATTGTGAGAGATAAAGGTTTAATTTACTCTTCTGCATATGGGTGTCCAATTTTTCCACCATCATTTCACTTATTGACGATTGTCCTTTGTCCAGTGCAGACACTTCTTGCGGAAGACTGGCAGCTGCAGATGTGTGGGTATTCTTTCAGGCACTGCGTTCTACTCCACTGCTCTGTGTAGCTGCGCTTTTTGTGCCAATACCATGCCAATACCATAATGACAGCTTTGTAGTCAAATAGTGTAGTGACTCCTGCCTTGTTCTTTTTGCTCAAGGTTGCTTTGGCTATTCAAGATACTGTACTCTGTATTAACTACCACATTGCTACTGTGTGGTTCCACACAGATTTTATGAGTGTTTTACTAGTTTTCTAAAGAATGTCATTGGCATTTTGATAGCGGTATTACATTATGATATTGTATATTGCTTTGGGTACTTTGGACATCTTACTAACTTTTATTCTCCCAGTCCATGAAAATAGGATGTTTCGCCATTTTGCTGTCCTCTTGAATTTCTTGTATCAATGTTTTGTACTTTCAATTGTAGAAACCTTTTACCTCTTTGATTAAATTTTTCCTGAGTATTTTATTTTTTGTTAATATTTTAGCGTCTTTGTTTTCTTGATTTGTTTTTCAGGTAATTTGATTTTGGCATATCCCAATGCTACTGATTTTTCTATCTTTAAATTCTGCAGTTCTAGTGAATTAGTTTATTGCTTCTCATTGTATGTGGTAGGGAGGGGTGGGATTTTCTATATGTATAAGGTCATATCCTTTGTAGCTTTCCTAGTTGGATGCCCTTTCTCTGACAAGGGCTTTAAATACAAAGTTTAATAAAAGTGGCACAGGTGGATATCCTCTGCTTTTTGATCTGAGAAAGCTTTCCATTTTTCCCATTCAGCATGTTGTTAACTGTGAACTTTATATGGCCTTTACTAGAGTGAGAGACATTCATTCTGTACCTTATTTATTTAAGATTTTTATCATGCAGATATTTTGACTTTTTGCAAGTATCGTTTGTGCATATTCTGAGATGATTGTATAATTTTTGTCCTTTATTCTGTTGCTGCAGTGTATTGTGTTTGGTTTTTTTGTGTGGACTCATCCTTGCCTCTCTGAATGGAATCCACTTGATGACAGTGAATAATCTCTCTAATATGGATTTAGTTTGCTAGGATTTTGTTGAGGATTTTAGCAATTATTATCATCAGAGATACTGACTTATAATTCTCTTTTTTATTATGTTGTCTGGTTTGAGTATCAGGGAAAGCTGGGCCTCATAGAATGAGTTTGGAGGGATTCTTTCCTCTTTAGTTTGTTGTACAAATTTATAGAGAATTGGTGTCAGTTTTTCCTTAAATACTTGGTAGAATTCAGCAGTGATACCATCTTATCCAAGGCTTTTCTTTATTGGGAGACATTTTATTGATGTTTTGATCTTGTCACTTCTTACTGGTCTTTTCAGATCTTCTGTTTCTTCATTATTCATTCTGGGTAGGTTGTATGTGTCCAGGTATTTTTTTCCCTGTATTCATGGTTATCAAATTTGTTGCTGTGTAGTGGTTTATAATAAACTTTAGTTATAATTTGTATTTCTCTGGTATCACTTATAATGTCTACTTTTTTTATTTCCTCTGCATTTGAATCTTGTTTCTCCATGTTGCTAAGGGTTTGTAAATTTTGTTTATATTTTCAGGAAACGAGATCATCATTTCATTGATGTTTTTCTACTTTAATCTGTATTTCACTTATTTCTGCTCTGATTTTCACCGTTTCCTTTTAAGTTTGGGTTTCGTTCATTTTTGTTTTTCTAATTCCATTAGCTGCAGCATTAGACTACTTCTGATTTTCTAAAAAATTATTTGAAGAGAGAAAGAAAATGCTCTCATCCATTGATTTAGTTCCAAAATGCCCAGTATAACAGCTAGGACTGGACTGGAACCAGAGTTAGAAGCCAGTATCACAATTCAGTTACACCATGAGGTTGGCAGGAACTCCATCAGTTAAGCCATCCCTGCTGACTTCCGGTGGCTGCAGTGGTGGAAAGCTGGAGTCAGGAACTGGTGCTGAGAACTGAAGCTAGGCACTCTAATGTAGAGAGTGGGAATCTTAACCACGAGGCTGAGTGCCCATTCTTTTGTGCCTTTTTTTTTTTTTAATATGGCTGTTAGTTGCTATGAACTTCCCCGCTATTTTTACTTTTTATGTGTTCTGTAGGTTTTGTTATGGAATATTTCCATTTTCATTTAAGAAATTTTTTTAACTTTTATTTAGTAAATATAAATTTCCAAAGTACAGTATATGGATTACAATGGCTCCCCCCCCTCTAATTTTCCTCCCACTCGCACCCCTCCCATCTCCCACTCCCTCTCCCATTCCATTCACATCAAGATTCTTTTTCAATTATCTTTATATACAGAAGATTGATTTAGTATATATTAAGTAAAGATTTCATCAGTTTGCACCCACACAGAAATACAAAGTGTAAAATACTGTTTCAGTACTAGTTATAGCATTACTTCACATTGGACAACACATTAAGGACAGATCCCACATGAGAAGTAAGTACACAGTGACTCCTGTTGTTGACTTAACAATTTGACACTCTTGCTTATGGCGTCAGAAATCTCCCTAACTCTAGTCATGAGTTGTCAAGGCTATGGAAGCCTTTTGAGTTCTCCGACTTCGATCTTATTCCGACAGGGTCATAGCCAAAGTGGAAGTTCTCTCCTCCCTTCAGAGAAAGGTACATCCTTCTTTGATGGCCCTGTTCTTTCCACTGGGATCTCACTCGCTCTTTTAACAAATTTTAAATTTCCTTCTTAAGGTTTTTGATCCATTGGTTGTAAAGAT